AACGAGGTGACATTTGGTGAAGGCGATCTTTCTGGTTCTGAGAGCGCAACGAGCTCTTTGAAAATTGAGCTAGCAGACTTCTATTATAACTTTGGTATAAGGGTCATTGATTATTTGACATCAATCAAGGCTTTTTATGATAAAACGCATGCTTCACATCGCTTTAGAGATTACGATGCCATGTTCCGGGACCACCTGAAACTTGGTGGCTATGTGATGAGTGATATTCCCGACACTTTAGAGAATGCTCTTATGAATGTTTTCTACATCAAAGAGGCAAAGTTAGCACTTTTACTTGGTAAGGATTTGACAAGAACTGCGAATGAGAATGTCAACTTCGAGGAATTTGTTCTCGACGCCGCCCAAGATGGCGAGATTGATGATGTGAGCGCTCAAGAGATTGTTACGAGATTCGATTCAAGTGATGAAGAAGATGACGAGAATGAAGCTCAAGTAGCCAAAGCGGCCGCAGAAAGGGAGGCAAAGGAGCTTGCCAAATCAAAGATCCAAATCGCGAAGCAGGAGATGGATACTTGGATTCAAGAGAGAGATCTTTCAGTAGTGTCGATGAAGCTACTTGGGCTCTGGAAAGCAAAAGTTCTGTCATCGAGCTCTTTGAAGCGTTTCGCTCTCAACGGCGAAAAACTTGGGCAAACATTCAAAACCATTGTATCATTGGTTGACACCCCTGAAGAACCTTCACAGGTAATCACTGACGATGCAACGGAAACGAATGAGATACGCACAAGCGAGGAACAAACTACTCTTGTTTCGTGATTTCGTTAGATTAATAAATATACTAAAATCTTTCCCTGTCTGACTTGCTGATCTGACTGCGAAGTCTTTCATCGTTAGGCACTGAAGTCACAAAACGAGGAAGCTCCGTGTGATTAGTAGAGTTGGTTGCTTCGCGTGAAACTGATAACCCTCTTCCTCTATCGTTCAGCCTACCGTTGGTTAACGACATCGATCTAGGGGTAAGCACATCGTCACCGCTGAAGATCAGATGATCAGACAAGCTTTGGATGTCCTCGTGATCATTGCGGTTCATCGGTAAAGTGACATAGTTAGAATGTAAGTCACCCGACTTGGGAAGTTTTTTCATGCTGATTTGTGAGCTAGCCGTCACGACTTCAGGATTACCTTTAATAGTTCTAGCAGATGTCCTGTTGGATCCAAGTGGCGGCCGGCTTGGTGAGGTTGAAGTGCCCAGTCTCAGTCTCAATTGGGAGTGAAACTTGGCTTTTATTGAAGGAGTGTGCTCAAATGCTGGACTCCGACTTCTTGTCTTCACAGAACGCATATTAAGTCCACTCAAATCGAGTTTCAAATTGTCTTTGTTTGGAGTGGTTTCAGTTTTAGGATGACACTTAAATTTGTTGCTTTTCCTAAATTCAACAAGGGCACGGCGAATATTGTACGCGGAATCCTGACGGAAGATCTTGATGAGTCCGGTTTGATCGCAAGTAACGATGATGTGGCCCGCATCTAAACCTGTTGTCTCGGCGTAGCCAATCTCTTTTTTCCGTGAGCCGAGAATTCCATAATCGTCTAGTTGTGGTGCTCTTCTCACCAAATCATAGATGATGTCGTCGGAGAATGCAAGAAGTCTTCTGGTGTTTTCAGGTGCAAAAAGTGCACAATTGACCTTGGTATGATGAGCATGAAAACATGCGTATGAATTGTTTTCGTTAGGAATATAATGCTGGCCACTACTGTCCTCAAGAAAGCGTTGCAAACTGAGTTTTCTCCAGATCTTGTTATCATGGAGAAGTTTGTTGACTTTTTTGTGGGTATGATTGACAGTTTGTTTACCCTCATTGTAGAGCTCTTTGAGGGCAATTTTTAGCTTATTGTTGATAATCGAGTTGTTGTTCTCCCAGACGTAACACCAGTGATCCTCAGATCCACTTATAATGAAACGGTTATCGTCACTCAAGGAAGAGACAATAGAAGAACTTGTATTGGTAGCCCCCTTAAATCGGGTAAGTAAGCGCGTTCTGTGCATATCAATCAACCTTGATTTTGAATCATTGGTGGTAATGAGTAAGTTCCATTTGGCAAACTGCGTACCCGAAGTCTCTGAAGCAGCCTCGTTTTCAAAAACCTTGATACCTGTAATTTTGTTGCCATGCTTTGGCCCGAAAGGGCTGGTGAGCGAGCGCTCTTTGAGCTCAACCCTGTGTAAAACATGAAGACCCTGTGTTTCGAGGCCAAAAAGGGAACCATTGAAGCCCCCTACTATGCAATTGTTACCAACTGGGGTGAATGCTAAGGCAGTGATGAGCACATCATTGCCCAAGTTTTTGCTGTATGCAATGGAATTGTCTAATATGGACCACAAACGGACATAATTGTCGAGCGAGCCACTTAAGAAGAATCTGTCCTCATTAGGATGGAATTTCACAGTGGTGACAAAGTCATCGTGCTTGAATGTCTCCAAACATTCGGAGCGCTCAACGTTCCAAAGCTTGACTGTACGGTCCATGGAACCCGATATGAGGAAATTGTTTTTGCTCCAGTCCAACGTCAAGATCGATTTTGTGTGTCCTTCGAATACGAGATAAGGTTCTTGCTGAAAAACTGGCGCGTATTGAAACACTTTCAGCTTGGAAGATTGCTTCCGAGAGACCTCACGGCTCTTGTACTGGAGCCTAGACAAGGGAGAGGAGATAACATGCCAGATGTAGATCTTGCTGTCACGTCCGGCGGCAGCCAAGTATTTGCCGTCCCTGCTAAATTCCATGACCAAGATCTCGTTGCTTCGCATGGAGGCGGACTCATTTTCGGAGGAGGCGGACGTGTTTTCGGAAAGGTCAATGCTGCTCAGCTCTGTGTCAGAGAGAACGCTTTCGACGTCTCGTTTCTCACCGCAACGAAGTTCCTGTGCTAGAAATAAGTTGTTGAGCATACGCGGACTCTTATTGCTGCGCTTATTGATCTTGATACGCTTTGGAAAAACCATGGACTCGCCGGTAAGCCCGGCCCAGGGGACATTACCTGCTGCAGAGTCCTCAGGCACCGGAAAGGCCTGCTCGCCACTCCTGTCAAACTCGTCGTCATGGTAATCATCTAAGGTGTAATTGGATAAGATATCAAGTGAATCGTGCAGATTGAGGTCGTCAGCCAGCTGGTCAGCATGATTGAAGATCAGCGTGAAATCGTCATCCAAAAACACGCCAGAACCGCTAGAAACCAGGGACTTATGAGGTCTGGGGGATTCCTTGGCAGGGCTGGTTGTGGAAAAGGAGGTGGAGGCCGTGGAGGTCAGCTGGGGCGACGGCGGCGTCAGCGTGGACTTCTTGCGGAAGAGCTTCAGCAAGATACGTTTCTTGCCGCCCGCTTCGTTTTTTGACATGGTGGGAGCAAAAAAACAGTGGAGCGGAGGGGGAGCAGGTGAGCTCTATTTCAGGAAAAACGGCTGCTGGGTGCGCAGGCAGGAGCATACCGGAGTTTCCCAGCAGCCTCCACTTGGCGCTGATCGAGCCGGTTTGTGCCAGAGCGAAGAAAAAGTATGGTCACTTCGGAGGGTTTTCTTTTGCTAAAATTTTTCAGCCTCCAACTGGTCTGTCTACCGGGCTTGGCAGCGATTCTTTCGCTGACACGGAACACAATGGCCGAGGAGGTGCTACCTCTATTTGCAACCGGTCGCAAAGTTAGCAACCGACTTTTCGCGGCATCCAGAAGCAGTTTTACCTCTACAGCCGGGCGCCAGACGCCTGCACCTCCATGCTCAAGGTTCTGCTGAAGCTTGCGACGAGAAAACCCTATTTGCGTCACCAGGTGCTCCGAAAGAGGCCGTTCGGTGTTTGGTGGTCTGGATTGTTGTGCAAGCCAAGACTGACAGGCTTGACAGCGTTGCAAAGCTAAAACGACGGTTGCGCTCTGGGCATAATTACATTATTCTGTGGGCGTAATCGTTGCAAATTGATTTCGGCTCTACTGGAGCTCGTCAGAGGGTCCAGGGGCAGACGCACTGTACGGGTGCAAACGCTGCGGAGACTGATCAACGAGCAATGGTGACCGTGAGTTGCGAGACGCTGGACCGCCTATCTGGATTTTAGTAAAGATTGCAAAATGCGTTTGACTCCGCAGCCGGGGTGCAAAATTAGCCAATCCGTTGTTGCTGTCAATGACAGTCAAGAATAAGTGGTTCGTATCCCCAGACATTAGTATGACAAAGCCGAAGAGGCGCCAGCGGACTAACCCAAGGTGCATGCGTTTCAGAAATGGCTTTTACTCGTCAAGCGAGTTCGCATCCTGGAATCGGGGCTTTTGGGTGTTCCGCTTGCGGATAGTCATGATTCCCTGCCCGGCGCCTAATGGCTGCGAAATAAAGCCCAGATGTACCACACGAGTTATGCCAGAAGCAACGGACCTCTCGATCGAGTAAGTCATACGTGGTGAAGGAAAACTGCGTACATCAAGGCTTCATCAGACAATGTGAGACTAGTCCACGGGCCTTTGTGTTTCGACGCCAAGTATTCTCGGACCCTCCTGAGGCCTCGGTACACTGGGGTTTGAGTCCCGGTTTTAAGCGCTTAATGGTTCCGGACCTTCCTACGGACCCTCGGCTTCAAACCCACCCTGCCCGCTATTTTTCCGTATACTGGGCGTCCAATGCGTCTACGGACCCTCGGCACCTTATTTGACAGGCAGCAATGCGTCGGATTATGGATGCGTCGGATATACTTCTGGAGTTAAGATAACGTTCGGGAAGCGGCGGGTCTTGTTTGGGTAATTCATTAAACTTTAGACACAAGTCAATTGAAACACTATTTTTCTACGTCACCTTACTACCGCATACGTGTTTTGTAAAGCTTATCCAGGCACTGTGACTCCCCATCCTGGGTCAGTCCACCTTCCCAGATTTTGCCCATCAGCAGCTTGGTAGCAGCTCATCTACACCATGATTCCTGTTGCTTTTATTACGTCGCCTGTCACACCCTGCCTAACGTACGCTGGCACGCTGGCAAATGCTCTATGTTGTTTCGCATGCCTTAGGTCTTCTTCTTCTTGGACCACTCCAAACGCAAGATCAACGAGTAGTAACCCTTGCCGTTCAACTCGTCCAATGCTCTCTGCGCAAGCAGCTCGGTTGCAAAAGTCACGTAGGCGAAACCCTTGGATTCGCCCGTCTCTCTGTTTCTGATAAGCGAGCATCTCTGCAATGGACCATACTTTCCGAGCAACTCCTCTCTCAACATCTGATCGTCCACAATCGTGTTCAACTGGGAGATTCTCAACGTACAAGAGTCATCTCTGGACTCTCTGCTTGGAGCATCGGCTCTCTTATGCACTGGAACGTATTTAGAAGATTCGGTAGGCTCTGGAGTAGCTCCTCCACCACCTGGGGCGGCGGTCTCCGCGCCAAGCGTGTCTTTGAAAGGACACTTGGATGTGAAATGGTCACCACCACATGTTCTACATGTGAGTCTTTGCGTGCTGACCAAGTTGACTTTTTGTTCCATCTTCTCCTCTTCCTCCTTCTTCTCGAGCTCTTTCCAAGAAGCACCGAGCTTCAACTCGATCTTCTCACCCAACTGTGTGGTTCTCGTGTCGGGTCCTGGCGGCGTGTGCTTTTCCTTGCCAAACTTAGCCCAGCTTCGACGGATCGCTATCGATGGGTGTACTCTTTCCTTGACCTTCACTTCCTTGATTTTCTGAGTGATCTTCACTTTCTGGCCCTTGGCGTTGAGTCTATAGCTCACCACCGTCTTGGTGCCATCTGGGTTCGAGGTAAACTCTGGGACGGGGATGTCATCCTCGGCATCTGCCCACGACTGAAACATGCTGTACTGTAGCGTTTATCGATGCCTTGTAATGGGTTTTGAGTAGCGAAAAATTTTAGTGCAGTCTGCACGACCGCGCTTTACTTGGAGCGGGCATTTGCAACCAATGGATCTGGATACTAAATAATGAAAATGCTAGGAGGTTGAATATTTTTTTTATTTGCTTAATCAAGTTGCATCGAGGTTCTGAGGATTTCTGCAATTTCGCCTCTGCGATAGACTTCTTCGTGCTTACCCCAGTGTCCTCTGCGATCCTCAAAAGCTATACACTTCTTCTTGAGATAGTGAGCGAAAAAGTCCAGTTGCCTTTCACTTAAAAGCTCATCATCTAGGGATTGTAGAATGAAAATATGACCGAAATCAAGCTCAAAGTTCATGGTTGGCCTACTGATGGCGGTCGCATTAGCATAATCGGTCTCAGAATCAAAAGCCTCGTTCACAAACAGCAGGTAAGTTGGATACTCCGCTAGTAGTTCAACAATATCGTAGATGCCATCCAAGAAGTATAAGTTTTCTAGTTCAATCACATGAGGACTAATCATCCTTTCACCTAAAAGTGTTTTGTACGTAAGCAATTGTAAGATTAGAGTCGCTCCCACTGAGTGACCAACTAACAGGGCACGTTTCACATTGTAGTGAGTTTCTAAGAACTTTAAAGCATAAATGACATCTTCGAGGTGATCGGGATGTTTTGATTGTGGAGATAGACGGTAGTTCAAACTGAAGTAATTGACATTTCGAGGAAGCTGATCTATTAGCTCCCCAAAGTCATCGTAGGTATTATGAGGATCTCTCCACGCACCACCATGAATGAAAATTAAAGTCTTCTGATTTTGCGGATTGTAATTGAATTCTTTTAGACTTTGCAATGGGTCTTCCCCATAGCTCACTACTTGAGTCATGATCGTTATCCGTGCATGTCTATAAAATACCGAGCCTCATCAAAGAGCGCCCATATATGTACAGGTTCACCGTTTTCAAAAACACCCAAACTAACCGTCATGATAAATCCAATGTATCTGTTCCTGGAGTAAGTTCAGCAGTAGATTGAGACACCAGTCATCCATATTAATACAGCAGTAGAAGTAAATTGTGGGTGGGCCGATTGCTTTGGCCCCACCAATAGTCAAGAATTTCTAGGGATCGTCTCCTCTATGGTAACTGGAGATCGATAGTCGTAAGTATCTTTTGTTGTCATTGCGCTTTGTCAAATAGAAGTAAATCCACATAGATAGTTTTCGGGAAAAAGATCATGGGAGCAGAATATTTCAAGTAGAATAAAAACAAACATTTCAAACGTCAGCACGTTTAGTAACGGGTAGGGGAGCGGTCACGGTTGTAAGAGTCTCTCTCGAATCCACCGTCACCACCACGGTTGTAGCCTCCTCTACCACCTCTGAAGCCGCCCTCGCGATTGTAGCCACCCTCACGGTCACCTCTGAAGCCACCTCTGCCACCTCTGAAACCGCCACGGCCTCTGCCACCTCTAAAGTCATCTCTGAAGCCACCACGGCCACCACGACCGCCTCTGAAGTCACCACGGAATCCACCACGGCCACCACGGAAGTCACCTCTGAAACCACCTCTGCCTCTCTTACGAGGAACATAAGGGCTGGTGTCGTGTTCAGCACGCAAAGTGGCACCCTCGTAGTCAGCATCATTCAAGTTCTCAATAGCAGAAGAAAGGGCCTCACCATCCTCAAACTCAAGAGCTGCAATGGTCTCACCAGAGTCGTAGTCACGGAAAACCTTGACGAAAGATGGTTCCATTCCCTTGTCACGGACGTAGTCCTTGAAATCTTGCCAAGCGGTGTTTTCTGGGACACCAGAAATCTTCACACGGTTTCTGTTACGAGTCTCCTCCTTACGACCCTTGGCCAACTCGATCTGGAGGGCCTGGCCATCCAAGTCACTACCAGCCAAAGAGTCGATAGCCTTGTTGGCATCGTCAGCACTCTCGTAAGTCACGAAAGCGTAACCTCTCATAATTTGAACTTCAACAAGGGGACCAATGGCAGAGAAGTGGCTCTCAATAGCCTCCTGAGAAGTTTCAAAACCAATGGGTCTCACAAAAAGCTTGCTAATAGGAGCATCCTCAACTGGGGCATCATCGACAGGAGAGATAGGAGCCTGGTCTTGTTCGGTGTCAGACATTGTAAAAAGTAAAGTGTTAGATGGAGTGTTTTATGTGCGGTAGTTTTTTTGCCTTTTAACGCGTGGTTTGATACACCCACGACCCCACTGTTTATCAGATTGAACGGTAAGTTTTGAAGACAAGGTCTTTTCAAACCTTTGAAGAGAACTTTAGTTGGATCTAGCTAATCGTCAGCTTCAAATTACTATACCCCATTTCCTGAGAGTAGTTTTAAAATATCACCTCATCAGGTGCTGCATGGGCCGCAACCAACTCCCTTCGGAGCCGCATATCACTTATTCAGACTAGAAAAGAAGAAAAAGCTTCTAGTTTGGAGTCATTTTTTTCGTTCTTGTCATGGTCTGTAAGAGGATATCTTTTGAATGGAAGAAGCGAATTGATGTAGAGCGAGGAATCCCTTCCAAGAGCCTCTTCTCCAGTATGAAGTACTCCGATTCTGTCCAATTTGGATTCCGAAATTGATATTTTGATCGAAAGTACCTTCAATTTGCGTCAATCGACTCGTCCAGAGAATCCAGACATTTATTTTAGATTTCGCTTGGTCCCCTCATTGCCAGCGGTGCTCTCTACATCTCTGAATATCAGAAAAAACCGAAAGCTCGATCCATTATATGCAGGCTTCTTAACATCATATAGATTGCGCACAACGTGAATTCTCAACGAGTCCGATATGGTGTAATGGCTAGCACAGTTCGCTCTCACCGAGCAGATCGGGGTTCGATTCCCCGTATCGGAGTTCTTTTTTTTCCCAACCTTATTTTCTACTCCAAGCTAGATTATTTAAAATTAAGTTTTTATCGATGGTTTAAACTTTAAATGCACATGCGTTATCATTATTGATGTAAATCTATACAAGCTCTAGTCCTAGCTCCTCTAAATGATCGTGATAATTGTCCATTCTTGCATCCTCCTCATCAGTGTTGACCAAAAAAATGGTATCAAGAATGTGATCTTTTTCTATGGCCATCTTCTCCTTACCGTAGTCCGAGCAGAACTTGACGGATGCAAGCATGGCACACACAAGGTTATCGTTGTTGTAACTTGGCATTTTCCCTGCCTTAAACTGCAGCTCTGACGGAATTAATAACTTTTTCTTATCTAGAGCGGTTTCTGCTGAACCAGCGGGTAGGAAGAGTGAATCATCAGTGACGAGTGTCTTTAGTAGGCCTCGTATGTTCACTTTATACACCGTGGTATCAGAGACAGAGACCGCAAGAACGAGCTCATCCTGGAAGTCATAAACATTCATGACTTGCTTGTTTGGGGAAGTAAACACTCGCCAGTGAGAAAGGCCATTAGGAATGAGAGCGTTGGTACCCGAGCATAGTTTGTAAGGTTTCAGAGGATCCCAAGGAACAATTTCGATGTTGAGTGATACGAATGAGGAGACGTGACTCATCTTGAACACTTCTTGAGGCTCTCCATCAACGTCAATCGTGTCCTTGACGACGACCACTAGGTTGGGTCTATAAAGGTCATTTCCACAGCCACACCTCACTAAATGTGCTCTTGCAAAGCCAACCCAGATATCTCGACCAGGTGGAATGATACTTTGAAGTATCGAAGAGTCCTGTTTTTGTGCCTTTAAAACATGGCGAATGTTGGCCATTTGTGTACCTCCACGGAAGGGACCAATGGAAGATGAAGTTTTGAGGTTCTCATTCTGCTGGAATAGGAAGCCACATTTACCAGTTTCAAGATCACATTTGAGGACTTGCATACTTGCCCAACGATAAACAAAAAGCATTGTCTTATCGTACCCGTGTTTCTGGCGGTCCGCATCACTAGTCATGGGAGTCCAGTTCTTCTGCTTTTCCTGACGAGGCATGTTTTTTATGCGCAACTCAACTGACTTGGTGTATGTTGAATTGTCCGTAGGAGATTCCATTATCTCATCAACATTCTGTTTGCCTTTTTGGAATTGCCAAGGGTAGCTCACCCACATGGATCGATAAGCTCCCGGTTTCTTCAAAAGTAGCTCATCTTCATCATCATCGGCAAAAGCATACTTCTGATGCTGCATGTTGAACACCATCATAGGCTCCTCGTAGCCATTCTTGTTCTTCACGAGGATCAATCTTGGGTCCTCGGGGCCTAGATACCGCATGCCAGGGTCCTTATACTTATGGAACATAGGTACAGGGATGATCAGGGGATAGTGGGCTACAGTGTAGCCCTGTTGTTGGACAAAGAACCCGGCAGCTTCGTTATTTGTAGGTATCACAAGACTGATGTCTCTCACCTCCTGCCAGTTCTCATCATATAACTGGGCATATGCAAAGGAAAACTTTGGGTCGCCACGGCTTCCATCGGGAGAATATGCCAAACGCGACACCATGAGGTGATAGCCATACTGTTCTAGGTAGACTGATGATCCAGCTAACCGGAACCAGTGGCGGTGGCACACTTGGTACATGAGTTGCAAACGAATTTGCAGATCGAAATATGGGGCCATCTCGTTGATATACTCGTCGTCACCACGGTCAATGGTCCGAATGAGTCTCAGCACAATGTCACATAGTGGCGTGTGCAAGTTGGTGGGTTCGCTGACCTCGGTCGACACGTTATTCTGGAGCTGTTCACACAGATGCAAATCCATGTTGATATCATGGGAAGCATCGTATATCTGGAATGGATGCTTGTGGAAAACCTCCTTTTTCACTGGATTGCTCTCGGGTCTATGCTTCTCGACATGTTCATATATGTAGTTGGGATTGTCTCTAAGACTTGGAGTATCGTTCACAAAGTCGGGAACTGCGGATATATCAAGGGGTATTGAGCTGGGGAGCACTAATCTGGATTTGACAGGTCGAAGTCTGGGCACTTCCTTTGACCACGGTAAACTGGGACCATATGTGAGATGCCACAAGAGAAAAAAAAGGACAAAGAGGGCTGCCCCATATCTTGTGTAATGCCTGGCCATTGTCGTGGGATTTCTGCTTGGCTAAAGCGTGGTGGATTTCTTCTTGAGAAGAAAGTTGTAGTTCACTCGCGGTGATAATGAGGCGTAACACTTCTTGGCTCTCTGTCAGAATTATTCCTTCACAGTTAACAAGGCTTTCCTTCTTCGTGGGTTCAAGAGTGTACAGAGATTCAGGAACGATCTACGCGGCGGTCTGGCTGCGAAACTGGAACACCTTTTTCGCGTGTTTTATTGTGCATAAGCTTACTTGGACTGGTTTTGGGAGTCTGAGCCGAGGTCCATGTTGTTTAGCATTTGACAAGCAGTCATTACTTTGACATCCTCGTCTGCTTGCCTCGCCCGCTGGCCTGCCTTAAGTTTCTGCAGGTGGGGCTGAACTACAGAGGAGACTCCTGACGGCGTCAAGCCATCGTCGAGATCGATGTCCTCGTCGTCAACGTCCTCATCTTCTTGTTCGACATCCCCGTCTGCCTCATCGTAATCGTCGCCATCAGCATCGTCATCCTCGCCATCGACAAACTCGTCGTCGTCGTCGTCGTCGTCGTCATCATAATCGTCAGTGTAGTCGTCGTCATAGTCATCATCAGTAAAGTCGTCCTCTTCGTCTTCATCCTTCTTTTTCTCTGACTTGTCTCCGCTGTTAAACATCATGAAACTCTTGAGCGGTGACGTGAAGGACGCCGACATGGGTCTTTCTTTCTTAGGTGACAGTGCCTGAGTCTTACTTCTCTCGATATCCAAAGATCTCACAGAATACAAGTCTGGCAGACCAGGTGGAGGCACCGAGCCAAGCTTGGGCAGGCTTGGACCTGATTTCATTGACT